TTAATTTATGTTTTTCGAGATGAAGACGAATGGTATTTGTAATTATCGATTCAAGTAACTATCTTACAATAGACGTTAGGCTAATTGGCCGATAGTCTGATGCAAGTGATCTATTCCCTTTCTTAATTATTGGTGCCACATTAGCAACCTTCCACGACTCTGGCACTCTGCCTGACATTAATGATTTATTTAATATGGAAGACAGTGGCTCGCAAATTTCCTCTTTGCACTCTTTAAGCACCCTGGCAAACACTTCATCCGGCCCTGGGGATTTGTTTGGTATGAGTTTCACTATTTGTTTAATAACATCATCCCTGGTAACTGCTAGTTAACCTGTCCTCATCCCCACCTACATAGACTAGTTTGGCTAAAGGCATAATGTTAAGTTCCTCCTGAAGGCATAAGTTAAGTTAGCAGATACAGAGGCAACATATTTATTAAAAATACTACTCATCTCTTTGTCATTCCCCGTTATCTGACCTGTCACAGTTTTTAATGTTACTATCCTTTCTCTAATCTTTGTTCGATATAACTGAAAAAACTTTAGGATTTGTCTTTGCTTGCCCTGCTATGCGAACTTCATGGTTTCTTTTTGCCCTCATTATCTCCTTTTTAACATTTCTAACCAGTTGTACAAATTCCTGTTCTAAACTGACTTCCCCTTTCTTAATCCTCATGTACCAAGCTCTCTTTCTACCTATAAGGTTCTTCAGAACCTTTGTTATCCATATCAGGTCTTTAGTATTTGATCTATTCAATTTGTATGGTATACTACCATACAAATTATATACTACGTTCCTGTGCTTTGCTTAGAATATTTTTTAAATAAGTTATATTTGGAATCCACATCGAAATCCTTTTTTACATCACCTATCATTGGGGTTCACGTCTTGCTCCAAAACCGCCCCCCCCCCACCCATGCCCAAGACTATCCAATCTATTTGACCCAAACAATTTCTTAGGCTATTAAAATAAACTTTTAAAAAATCTGGCACTTTAACAGAATTTTCTCCTACAGATCTTTTCCATTCTATGCTAAATCTGATTTCTTTATGATCACTGTTCCCTAGTTCACTCCCTATTTCGATGTCATTAATTTGTGTTTCCCTGTTAGTTAACACTAAATCTAAAATATTATTTTCCCGTGTTGGTTCCTTAATGTGTTGCGTAAGAAAGCAATCGTCAATTAATTCAAGAAAATCTTCTGCTTCATTATTCCCTGTTCTGTTAAACCAGTTTAGTTCACTGAACTTAAAGTCACCCATGACACAAATACTGATAGACTTAGATGCTCTAGATATTCCATCCCATAGATGCTTTGCTTCCATTCTAAGTTTGGTGGCCAGTATATAACTTCTATTATAAGATTATTTGCTTTTTTGGTTAATTTTAGCCAAATAGTTTCTGTGTTTGGCTCAATTTAGATTCCCTCTTTGAGACTACATTTCAAATTGTCCCTAACATATATGGCTACTCCCCCTCCTCGTCTAATATATCTATCTGTGTGAAATAGTTTAAATCCATTTATTTGATATTCAGATAATAGTTCTCTATTTTCTACATTCATCCACGTTTCGGTAAGTGCAATAATATCTATTTTTTTCCTATGCAGACAAGAGCATTTAACTCGTTTATTTTGTTTCTTAGACTTCTACTGTTAGTGTAATATATCACAAGTGTCGTAATTTCGAAGCTCTTCTCTTTCATTTATCATTTTGCTAATATATTTTCCCCACGAACACATGCTTTTATTACCTCAGGTGTCAACGTTAGTTATGGGTGTGGGTGGCTATGGGCGTGGGTGGCTATGGGCGTGGGTGACTATGGACGTGGGTGGCTATGGGCGTGGGTGACTATGGGCGTGGGTGACTACGGGCGTGGGTGACTATGGGCGTGGGTGGCTATGGGCGTGGGTGACTATGGACGTGGGTGGCTATGGGCGTGGGTGACTATGGACGTGGGTGGCTATGGGCGTGGGTGACTATGGACGTGGGTGACTATGGACGTGGGTGACTATGGGCGTGGGTGGCTATGGGCGTGGGTGGCTATGGGCGTGGGTGGCTATGGACGTGGGTGACTATGGACGTGGGTGACTATGGACGTGGGTGACAGTGGACGTGGGTGACTATGGACGTGGGTGGCTATGGACGTGGGTGACTATGGACGTGGGTGACAGTGGACGTGGGTGACTATGGACGTGGGTGACTATGGACGTGGGTGACTATGGGCGTGGGTGACTATGGACGTGGGTGACAGTGGACGTGGGTGACTATGGACGTGGGTGACTATGGGCGTGGGTGACAGTGGACGTGGGTGACTATGGACGTGGGTGACTATGGACGTGGGTGACTATGGACGTGGGTGACTATGGACGTGGGTGGCTATGGACGTGGGTGATTATGGGAGTGGGTGACAGTGGACGTGGGTGACTATGGACGTGGGTGACTATGGACGTGGGTGACTATGGACGTGGGTGACAGTGGACGTGGGTGACTATGGACGTGGGTGACTATGGACGTGGGTGGCTATGGGCGTGGGTGACTATGGACGTGGGTGTAACACGGGTTGGGGTTCTCTCTCTACTTATCTAATTCACTTCCTTCTACTCCCTCTACCCGTATTCTTACTTTTTATTCTCTACCAAGGGACTCCAAAACTTTTACCAAAGCCAACTCCACGCCACGTGGTCCTAAGACGATTGACCGCCTTAGGATTCTACACCCAGTATGACGTGACCTAGGCGTTGAGCAAAACCCTAGAGTCGCCTCTACGCTGCCACCACCAGACCAGTAACACAAGAGCAATGATCGAGGTCTGGATCGATCACGCTAATTAATCAACCTAGGGGCTTGATCCCCACTATATACGATGACCTTGAGTGTGGAATAAATTACACGGTAATGATAATTCCGATTCGATGTTAGAATCGGCGCCCAATCCAACTTTACCTCGTGTGGACCACGTGACCAGGACAAGTTTACACATAAAACACATGGAAATAATGAAATGCAAATATTAACAAATTTAATTTATTAAAAGAAAACTAAAACAAAATCTAAATATGTTCACTCCCTATCACTTTAACACTCCCTACTTGACCTGAATGGCAAATGAGAAGACTATCCCTATAATTAACAATAGCAACTATACCTGGGGCGACCACAGCTCTAGATGTTGGGCTGGTCTTGGGGAGAGGTAAGATGGTTGGCCTCTTATCCCAGCTGCTCCCGTTTCCACACTGATTTGTCCTCGTCTGGCCTAGCCCAGACTAGAATATTGTATCCTTCCGCCTAGTCAAAGTTTTACCAAGTTACTAGCCAGGTTTAAGTTATAACAATTAACCTCTGTTGTACTTAATTGATCCAGACTGGTTGAATTATTTTACTGAATTAAATTACAAACATCTAACGGCAGAGCTGTTCCCGATCACAAAAATGGTTAATTGAACTTTGAGAAATACTAGACATGTCAACCCTGCTGACCTATGACCGCCGGTCACTCCGCCTTAGAAGTTAGATCTGATTCGTGACGTCACTGATGGTGACTTAAACTCAATAATTAGAATACTCTTGATATTGTATCCAGTACTATTATACAATACAATTTTAATGCAAAATGAGTAAAGGCTAATTTCTCTAAATTACTGAATACTATAGGATGGTTCATTATACGCAGCTATGAACAAAGCGTCGGTTATTTCCACCGCGAATTCCCCTGGGGGTCAGGTCACCATGCGGGCTCAGCTTCCCATTCTCTTTTGTCGATAAACCACTCTGGATAATTCTTACAACAGCCTAGTCTGTTACATGGGTGGCTATGGACGTGGGTGACTATGGGCGTGGGTGGCTATGGGCGTGGGTGGCTATGGACGTAGGTGACTATGGGCGTGGGTGACAGTGGACGTGGGTGACTATGGACGTGGGTGACAGTGGACGTGGGTGACTATGGACGTGGGTGACTATGGACGTGGGTGACTATGGACGTGGGTGACTATGGGCGTGGGTGGCTATGGGCGTGGGTGGCTATGGGCGTGGGTGGCTATAGGCGTGGGTGGCTATGGGCGTGGGTGACTATGGGCGTGGGTGGCTATGGGCGTGAGTGACTATGGGCGTGGGTGGCTATGGGCGTGGGTGGCTATGGGCGTGGGTGGCTATGGGCGTGGGTGGCTATGGGCGTGGGTGGCTATGGGCGTGGGTGACAGTGGGCGTGGGTGAGTGTCGGCTGGAGCAGATCCCAGAACAAATGCATTAGAAACAAATGTAGAGCCAAGAATATGGAGGAAGGTAAGCCACCGTGTCTTAGATCACGCAATGTGGGCGGACGTGAGAGCTGAGAGAGAGAGAGAGAGAGAGAGAGAGAGAGAGAGAGAGAGAGAGAGAGAGAGAGAGAGAGAGAGAGAGAGAGAGAGAGAGAGAGAGAGAGAGAGAGGGAGAGAGAGAGGGAGAGAGAGAGGGAGAGAGAGAGAGAGAGGGAGAGAGAGAGAGAGAGAGAGAGAGAAAGAGAGAGAGAGAGAGAGAGAGAGAGAGAGAGAGAGAGAGAGAGAGAGAGAGAGAGAGAGAGAGAGAGAGAGAGGGAGAGAGAGAGCGAGAGAGAGAGAGAGAGAGAGAGAGAGAGAGAGAGAGAGAGAGAGAGAGAGAGAGAGAGAGAGAGAGAGAGAGAGAGAGAGAGAGAGAGAGAGAGAGAGAGAGAGAAATAATGAGGTTAAGATACACGAATGAAGTGAATGAAGCTTGGATCAGATTACTCACAATGGGCTAGGGTGGGTGGAGGACAGTGAATGAGTGGGTGGAGTGGGTGGAGGGGGCGACAGGTTGAGGGAGGGTTTAGTATGGGAGTTGATGGGGGGTCTGGGGGGGGGGAGGAGGTGAACGTGGAGGGTGTCAGGGGCACAGAACTGAGAACAGTGGTTCAACTCACCACCACTACAACACACGCACACATACATACTCTATACAGATGTAAACTCTAGTTTACAGCACGTTCTTATGGTCTACAGTCTACATTATGGTACCCCGGGCCGTGGTGACTAGGTGTGATAACGCTTCCTCCCGTACCAAACCGGCTTCACTCACTGAAACATCATTGTTTCAAACATCTGAAACATCAAACTGAGACAATCTCAGTTTGAAGTCTGGCTTGGGCAGAGATATCGCGCGATACCCAAGCAAAATGTGAAATTTAATTGCGATATCTTGAAGTTTGAACCACCAGAGCGCCACTGACAAGTTCACTCCACGATATCCGAAGCGAGGCTCATAGTTATCGTACATAATCTCGTGAGATCGTAGCGAGTTCGTTCGACAATCAGGAAAACTTTAGCAACTTCAACGATTCTGTCTGACCTCTTTAGCGGAGTGCCCCGCTGCCCTGCAGTGAGGCTGTGCAGTGTGTAAGTGGCACAGTGACTGTGCCACAGTGACGATACACTACAGTGAAACAAGGTACTCAGTTGCTTTGATGAATTAAGTGACACGCATTACTCTTCAGGCATTAAGTGTCTTACTAAAAATATGATTCGCTTGAGTGATTTACTAAAGTGGAAATTTGATAAATACTCGAAGCATTAGGCAGATGTACTAGAGATGTACAAAAGGGCAAAGATGTGTCACTTATATAGTTTTAAGTGCTGAAGCAGAGCTCACCTAAGTAATGAAAGTGCGCTTAACCAATGGACTAAAATGATCAACAGAAAAGTACCAGAGGTAATGTGTTTACTGTAATGTTGTAATGTATTCCTTCAGTGTACTGAATGATGTCATTAGACCCGAGGAGAGAGTCACAGAGACGAAGCCTCGAACCAGCGCCACAGTCCTGGCAACGAGGTAGGTAAGGTAAAGGTTATCATCAGCGTAATGTCCCACAGCCAGCTTGATCACCTGCCACTTGAGATATCAAGGTAAGTATCTGGGATATGAGGATAACGAGCTGGAACAAGAGGGAAGGTGAGATGAGATTTAAGGACAAGGAGTTGGGATCTGAGGTCAAGGAGTTGGGATCTGAGGTCAAGGAGCTGGGATCTGAGGTCAAGGAGCTGGGATTAGAGGTCAAGGAGTTGGGATTTGCGGACAAGGAGTTGGGATTTGAGGACAAGGAGCTTGGATTTAATGACAAGGTGCTGGGATTTGAGGACAAGGAGCTGGGATTTGAGGTCAAGGAGCTGGGATCTGAGGTCAAGGAGCTGGGATTTCAGGTCAAGGAGCTGGGATTTGAGGACAAAGAGCTGGGATTTGACGACAAGGAGTTGGGATTTGCGGACAAGGAGCTGGGATTTGAGGACAAGGAGTTGGGATTTGAGGACAAGGAGCTGGGATCTGAGGTCAAGGAGCTGGGATTTGAGGTCAAGGAGCTGGGATTTGAGGACAAAGAGCTGGGATTTGACGACAAGGAGTTGGGATTTGCGGACAAGGAGTTGGGATTTGCGGACAAGGAGCTGGGATTTGACGACAAGGAGTTGGGATTTGCGGAAAAGGAGCTGGGATTTGAGGACAAGGAGCTGGGATTTGAGGACAAGGAGCTGGGATTTGCGGAAAAGGAGCTGGGAGATGAGAAATGAGTAAAGTAACTGTACCCAAACACTTGGACCATCGGGGTAGGGAACCTGGACCCTGCAACAAGTTAGGCTGACTTTTTACCAACCGGTCCAAGTGGTTGGGTGAGAACGCTGCACAGAAACACCAAGTCGAGAGTAGACAATGTTTGTTGATAACTTTGTAGAGTCGAAGAGCTTTGTCCCATCAGGTTTGATAAGGTCCTTACAGGCACCACGTGTCCTGCCAAGTCCTGCCAAGTCCTGCCAAGTCCTGTCAAGTCCACTCTCACCTTGGGGTTTCCCTTCACCAAGGTAGGACGCTGAAGGCGTAAATATATTAGGGTAAGGAACGCTGAATGGCGCATTTTAAGGTAAGGTAACAGGTAAGGCACAGAGATAATATAATATGTAAATAGAAAAGTTTCCAAGGTAAAACAATAGGAAAAGTATCACGGTAAATTAATAGGTAAGGTAGGAAGGTAAATAAATTATAGGTAAGATACCAAGGTAAGGTGCGAAAATAAAGAGTGAAATTGTACAATTTCTGAAAAATGTATGATAGTGGTAGATATATGTTAGTGGTAGATGTATGGCACTGGTAGATGTATGGCACTGGTAGATGTATAGCACTGGTAGATGTATGGCACTGGTAGATGTATGGCACTGGTAGATGTATAGCACTGGTAGATGTATGGCACTGGTAGATGTATGGCACGGGTAGATGTATGGCACTGGTAGATACATGGCACTGGTAGATGTATGGCACTGGTAGATGTATGGCACTGGTAGATGTATGGCACTGGTGGATGCATGGCACTGGTAGATGTATGACACTGGTAGATGTATGGCACTAGTAGATGTATGGCACATGTAGTTGTAAGGCACTGGTAGATGTATGGCACTGGTAGATGTATGGCACTGGTAGATGTATGACACTGGTAGATGTATGACACTGGTAGATGTATGGCACTAGTAGATGTATGGCACATGTAGTTGTAAGGCACTGGTAGATGTATGGCACTGGTAGATGTATGGCACTGGTAGATGTATGGCACTAGTAGATGTATGGCACATGTAGTTGTAAGGCACTGGTAGATGTATGGCACTAGTAGATGTATGGCACATGTAGTTGTAAGGCACTGGTAGTTGTAAGGCACTGGTAGATGTATGGCACTGGTAGATGTATGGCACTGGTAGATGTATGGCACTGGTAGATGTATGGCACTGGTAGATGTATGGCACTGGTAGATGTATGGCACTGGTAGATGTATGGCACTGGTAGATGTATGGCACTGGTAGATGTATGGCACTGGTAGATGTATGGCACTGGTAGATGTATGGCACATGTAGTTGTAAGGCACTGGTAGATGTATGGCACTGGTAGATGTATGGCACTGGTAGATGTATGGCACTGGTAGATGTATGGCACTGGTAGATGTATGGCACTGGTAGATGTATGGCACTGGTAGATGTATGGCACTGGTAGATGTATGGCACATGTAGTTGTAAGGCACTGGTAGATGTATGGCACTGGTAGATGTATGGCACTGGTAGATGTATGGCACTGGTAGATGTATGGCACTGGTAGATGTATGGCACTGGTAGATGTATGGCACTGGTAGATGTATGACACTGGTAGATGTATGGCACTAGTAGATGTATGGCACATGTAGTTGTATGGCACTGGTAGATGTATGGCACTGGTAGATGTATGGCACTGGTAGATGTATGGCACTGGTATATGTATGGCACTGGTAGATGTATGGCACTGGTAGATGTATGGCACTGGTAGATGTATGGCACTGGTAGATGTATGGCACTGGTAGATGTATGGCACTGGTAGATGTATGGCACTGGTAGATGTATGGCACTGGTAGATGTATGGCACTGGTGGATGCATGGCACTGGTAGATGTATGACACTGGTAGATGTATGGCACTAGTAGATGTATGGCACATGTAGTTGTAAGGCACTGGTAGATGTATGGCACTGGTAGATGTATGGCACTGGTAGATGTATGGCACTGGTAGATGTATGACACTGGTAGATGTATGGCACTAGTAGATGTATGGCACTGGTAGATGTATGGCACTAGTAGATGTATGGCACATGTAGTTGTAAGGCACTGGTAGATATATATTGTATTACAATATTCGTCTTGCCCCTGAATGATTGCATTAGTAAGAACTATCATAACATTTCTACTAATAAATAAAAAACCTAAATAATAATAATAATAATAATAATAATAATAATAATAATAATAATAATAATAATAATAATAATAATAATAATAATAATAAAAATGGCTAAAGGAATCTCATTAACGTGATGTATCAAAGTGAAAATAAATAGGAGCCATGTGGAAGGTTCGAACCTGTGCCCTGGGAACTCCCAAGCACACGACCTACACCACTACACCACGACCTGCTGCACTGTTGGAGGCCACGACCTGCTGCACTGTTGGAGGCCACGGCCTGTTACACTGTTGGTGGCCACGGCCTGTTACACTGTTGGAGGCCACGACCTGCTGCACTGTTGGAGGCCACGACCTGCTGCACTGTTGGAGGCCACGACCTGCTGCACTGTTGGAGGCCACGACCTGCTGCACTGTTGGAGGCCACGACCTGCTGCACTGTTGGAGGCCACGACCTGCTGCACTGTTGGAGGCCACGACCTGCTACATTGTTGGAGGCCACGACCTGCTACATTGTTGGAGGCCACGACCTGTTGTATTATGCAGTACTCGGAACATGCCACATTCCCATACAACATGTCCTTATAGGGGCAGTGAAGATCAAGGAACGGAACAACATGTATGAACATTTTGTTAATAAAACTTCGGTTTATGACCATTGAAGTGCATCAAGTAGCCAACCCTCCTGTTGGACCCTCCGTTAACCACTTTTGTACCAACAACTGTACCAATACAACCTGAGGACAACACTTGGACTGGACGGTAGAGCGACGACCACACATCATTGCAGGTCGGCGTTCAATCCCCGACCGTCCAAGTGGTTGGGCACCATTCCTTTCCCCTCGTCCAATCCCAAATCCTTATCCTGACCCCTTCCCAGTGCTATATAGTCGTAATGGCTTGGCGCGTTCCCCTGATAATTCCCTTCCCCCTCGTAGAACAGTGACTTCTGTCGTGACTCACAATCAGGGATACCGGGTTCGATTCCCAGGAGCGACAGAATTGGCTGGGCACGTTTCTTTTCACCCAATGCCTCTGTTCATCCTTGTAGTAACTAGGTACCCGGGAGTTAGTCAACAGTTGTAGGGTTACATCCTCAAGGGGGGGGGGGGGGCAGTAGGTCCACCTAGGGTGACCCCAATACAAGGACGACCCACGTAAGTAACTTGCTCGTACTTAAGACACTTACCAACTCACTTACACACACAAAAGTTACATTCATTCCACTTAACTCAAGTCATGAAGCTTGGGTATAGAATGTGTCTATGTTGTCATTACAAGAAATGCTTAGCCAGAAGCCTCGTTCAGCTGCCAGTTGATGACAAGCTCGTTAGCAACACTAATTGCTGGTTGGTAGTTAGGGTCTGACCCGCCGACAACCCCAGACGCTGCAGACCAGAAGCTTTGTCTCGCGTGGATAAGATTACGCGTCCACCGCGAAGGCCACTGCGCCTCTGGCCTCCTGTTGTGAATTGCCCTCTACGACGCACCGGAGATTACGGCAGAGGAGCTACGAGCCCATGTACTCGTAACTAGGCCGTCGATCTCTCTCTCTCTCTCTCTCTCTCTCTCTCTCTCTCTCTCTCTCTCTCTCTCTCTCTCTCTCTCTCTCTCTCTCTCTCTCTCTCTCTCTCTCTCTCTCTCTCTCTCTCTCTCTCTCTCTCGCTCTGCGGGTCTGTACATCTATAGAAAATATGTATTATTAGGGTCCCGGTAGAACAGTCGAATTCGTTCTCGACACACAAGCGAAAATTTCGGGTTCGAATCCCGGACGGGACAGAAATGGTTAGGCACATTTCCTATCACCTAATGCCGCTGTTAACCTAGCACTAAGTAGGTACTCAGGAGGTAGTCAGCTTGTTGTGGGTGACATCCTGGGCGGGGTCAGTAATTAGACCTTGGTGGGGGGGGGGGGACGGTGATATAAGCCTAACGGGTATGAAAACACTCTGGCTTCCTGTCCCCAGGACACAATGAATGATAATCAGTGACTTGCATTGCCTTAACCTAACCCTTGTCTGGTGGGGAGTGTGGCACTAGACCTCTCTCCCTTCATCTCTCCCTTTCTCCCTCTCACCTCCTCTTCCCTTTCTCTCTCTCTCCCCTTTCCCCTGTTCCATTCTCTTCCTTCCTTTTCCATCCTCTTCCCCCAGTCCTCCTTGTCTCCATCTTCCCTATCTTTCCTCCCTATTTCTGCCCACCTCCCATCTGCATCACTTCATCCCTCTCATCTCCTACGTTTCCCTCCCCTCCGCCCTCCCCTTCCCCCCCCCCCCCGCCCCCCTCCAGCTCCGAACAGAGTGATATTTTTCTTATATAGAAGAAGTCCCCCCCCCCGGCTGCGCCTGCCCCCACCCCACCCTCTCAACATTCTCTCATAAACTGAGTTATTAAGAAACACTGAAAACACTGCCTAGGTCTCTCAGAAAATATTTGACGAAAACAAAGAACGCGAAGTTAATCACAACATATTTCTCACTTCATGAAAATGGTCCGAGGGTCTTTAATAATTGCTAATATTTCTTAAAGTATTAAACTTAGTCTTACCCCCGACCAGCCTATGTCCGTTCCGTACCACAGACCATTCTCCCTGTAAATTTGGGTGAGACTGGCCGCAAGCGTCTGGCCTCAAACTTTGGACAGAGGTTCTCTCTTATAACAAGGACTGAGGATGGTTGGTGGACGCCGCAGCTGCCCCAGCAAGGACTGGGGAAGGTTGGTGGACGCCGCAGCTGCACCAGCAAGGACTGGGGATGGTTGGTGGACGCCGCAGCTGCCCCAGCAAGGACTGGGGATGGTTGGTGGACGCCGCAGCTGCACCAGCAAGGACTAGGGATGGTTGGTGGACGCCGCAGCTGCACCAGCAAGGACTGGGGATGGTTGGTGGACGGCCGCAGCTGCACCAGCAAGGACTGGGGATGGTTGGTGGACGCCGCAGCTGCCCCAGCAAGGACTGAGGATGTCTGGTGGACGGCCGCAGCTGCACCAGCAAGGACTGAGGATGGTTGGTGGACGGCCGCAGCTGCACCAGCAAGGACTGGGGATGGTTGGTGGACGCCGCAGCTGCCCCAGCAAGGACTGGGGATGGTTGGTGGACGCCGCAGCTGCCCCAGCAAGGACTGGGGATGGTTGGTGGACGCCGCAGCTGCACCAGCAAGGACTGGGGATGGTTGGTGGACGCCGCAGCTGCACCAGCAAGGACTGGGGATGGTTGGTGGACGCCGCAGCTGCACCAGCAAGGACTGGGGATGGTTGGTGGACGCCGCAGCTGCACCAGCAAGGACTGAGGATGGTTGGTGGACGCCGCAGCTGCCCCAGCAAGGACTGGGGATGGTTGGTGGACACCGCAGCTGCACCAGCAAGGACTGAGTATGGTTGGTGGACGCCGCAGCTGCACCAGCAAGGACTGGGGATGGTTGGTGGACGCCGCAGCTGCACCAGCAAGGACTGGGGATGGTTGGTGGACGCCGCAGCTGCACCAGCAAGAACTGGGGATGGTTGGTGGACGCCGCAGCTGCACCAGCAAGGACTGGGGATGGTTGGTGGACGCCGCAGCTGCACCAGCAAGGACTGAGGATGGTTGGTGGAAGCCGCAGCTGCCCCAGCAAGGACTGGGGATGGTTGGTGGACGCCGCAGCTGCACCAGCAAGGACTGAGTATGGTTGGTGGACGCCGCAGCTGCACCAGCAAGGACTGGGGATGGTTGGTGGACGCCGCTGCTGCACCAGCAAGGACTGGGGATGGTTGGTGGACGCCGCAGCTGCACCAGCAAGGACTGAGGATGGTTGGTGGACGCCGCAGCTGCCCCAGCAAGGACTGGGGATGGTTGGTGGACGCCGCAGCTGCACCAGCAAGGACTGAGGATGGTTGGTGGACGCCGCAGCTGCCCCAGCAAGGACTGAGGATGGTTGGTGGACGCCGCAGCTGCCCCAGCAAGGACTGGGGATGGTTGGTGGACGCCGCAGCTGCCCCAGCAAGGACTGGGGATGGTTGGTGGACGCCGCAGCTGCCCCAGCAAGGACTGGGGATGGTTGGTGGACGCCGCAGCTGCCCCAGCAAGGACTGAGGAAGGGATTTGTTAAGAGTCTTCCTCAAGTCAACAATTTAAGGCGACCTAAATTAAATTCAAGTTTGAGTGGAGAATCTCCTGAAGAGATGATTATAAATCAATCTACTGCATTTTTTTCCATTGCATTCTATTGCAGGTAGACGTAAATAGTACCATTCCACCAAGCTCTCCTCACTGATGCAAGACTCATTAACCAGACCACACACTAGAAATTGAAGGGACGACGACGTTTCGGTCCGTCCTGGACCATTCTCAAGTCGATTGTGACTTGAGAAACAATCGACTTGAGAATGGTCCAGGACGGACCGAAACGTCGTCGTCCCTTCAATTTCTAGTGTGTGGTCTGGTCAACATACTTCAGCCACGTTATTGTGACTCATCGCCTGCAGAAGACTCATTACTCTTAACTCATCTTGCAGAGGAAGACAATCTAAAACACTCAGATGGAATAATTAAAACTTATTTACAAAAGATGAAGGAAGTCGCATTCTTCACTCGAGGAATGTCCTCCATTAAGCCCCGGATCTCATATCACGGGAGCTCTATGGCACTATTTGTAAAGAAAAAGTTATATATAAAAATGCGCCAGGAACTTAGATGGTTTTGGAAGGTCTTGAAAGCGGGGAACCTCATTACTTGAGAGTTTGTAACAAGATAGTTTGAAAGATTCTCGTTAAATATTTACCTAGTGGGAAGATAAATTAATCATTGGAAAATGATCCTTATTAATGTCTTCCATAGCGCTTACGTCACGCTACTTTAATTCTCTTTGTCATCCTGGAGCTAATTGTGCTAAACATTACATTTCCATAAACATCTGAGTTGATAAATATCTCCTCAAGACACTGAGTGAGTATTATATATACATATAATTTTTTTATTCTTATTCATATATGATGTATATGTATATGAGTGGCGCTGCCCAATAAACTTGCCCCTAGGGGCAAAATTTAAAAATTAAAAAAAAATTATATATTAAAATATTTTTGGGGTTTGTGCTACAAGAGAACGTGGAGGCTCGTCAAAGCTGCAATAGAAGTGTAACTACTTAAACTACTTGTTATTTGAATGACGTTCCCAGAGACGTGAGTGACGTTCTCTGCTGTAATAATATCTACTTACTTTTAACATCTACTGTTCCTTTTTTGAAAGGAACTTTTAATAATCTTAAAAGTTCCTTTCAAAACTAGCCCGTAGAGTCGTTCTCCGCCAGAGGGTCGCCTGCCCCAGGTCTCTGGAGACCTCGGGGTCTCTGGAGACCTCGGGGGGTCTCTGGAGACCTCGGGGGGTCTCTGGAGACCTCGGGGTCTCTGGAGACCTCGGGGTCTCTGGAGACCTCGGGGGGGTCTCTGGAGACCTCGGGGGGTCTCTGGAGACCTCGGGGGTCTCTGGAGACCTCGGGGGTCTCTGGAGACCTCGGGGGTCTCTGGAGACCTCGCGGGTCTCTGGAGACCTCGGAGGTCTCTGGAGACCTCGGGGGTCTCTGGAGACCTCGGAGGTCTCTGGAGACCTCGGGGGTCTCTGGAGACCTCGGAGGTCTCTGGAGACCTCGGGTGTCTCTGGAGACCTCGGGTGTCTCTGGAGACCTCGAAGGTCTCTGGAGACCTCGAAGGTCTCTGGAGACCTCGGAGGTCTCTGGAGACCTCGGGGGTCTCTGGAGACCTCGGGGGTCTCTGGGGACCTCGGGGGTCACTACAGGTCAGGAACGACAGAGACACAGTCATTAACCTCCAACTGCCCCCCAATCAGGGCCATAAGCTGGCCACTCAGAATGCAAGGCGTCTGAAAATGGCTCACAAGACAACCAATCCCAGGGTCTGATTCACGACTCCATACCAACAGGGACAGGAAGCCTGCTGATGGTCAAGGTCGTCCAAGCTGCAGCCGGCTCAAAACCCGCATTCGTAATGACCTTTACTGTACACCTTAATGCTCTTCCCACATATGTCTTCATGAAGTGATGCTCTGTTGGATAAAAGTTAAATAGTGTTTTCACAGCACGTTCATAAACATGAATAAAGATAGCCCGTCCTCATAGAGGCAGCCCGTCCTCATAGTGGCAGCCCGTCCTCATATCCTCATAGAGGCAGCCCGTCCTCATAGTGGCAGCCCGTCCTCATATCCTCATAGAGGCAGCCCGTCCTCATAGTGGCAGCCCGTCCTCATAGAGGCAGCCCGTCCTCATAGAGGCAGCCCGTCCTCATAGTGGCAGCCCGTCCTCATAGAGGCAGCCCGTCCTCATAGAGGCAGCCCGTCCTCATAGAGGCAGCCCGTCCTCATATCCTCATAAAGCCAGCCCGTCCTCATAAAGCCAGCCCGTCCTCATAAAGCCAGCGGATTTGTAAAGGTTTAGATGAATGTATTTTGGTCGAGTTGATGAAGTATTTTTCCATGGTTTACGTGGAGAGGTTGTGAGGGGCGTGAGTTGTGAGGGGCGTGAGTTGTGAGGACCAGTTGTTGTGGAGGCGGTTGTGTGCCAGGAGGCCCGGGGCTCCGGGTGCCAGCCGGCACAATACCTGCTCTTATCACACACAAAAGGCAATCCACACACTCAGACACGGCTGCACCACAACACCTGTCTGTCTCAGCTCACTACCACAACACTAGTCTCTCAGCTCACTACAACACCTGTCTCTCTCAGCTCACTACCACAACACCTGTGTCTCTCTCAGCTCACCACCACAACACCTGTCTCTCTCTCAGCTCACTACAACAACACCAGTGTCTCTCTCAGCTCACCACCACAACACCCGTGTCTCTCTCAGCTCACCACCACAACACCCGTGTCTCTCTCAGCTCACCACCACAACACCTGTCTCTCTCAGCTCACCACCACAACACCTGTGCCTCTCTCAGCTCACCACCACAGCACCTGTCTCTCTCAGCTCACTACAACAACACCTGTCTCTCTCAGCTCACCACCACAACACCTGTCTCTCTCAGCTCACTACAACAATACCTGTCTCTCTCAGCTCACTACAACAACACCTGTCTCTCTCAGCTCACCACCACAACACCCGTGTCTCTCTCAGCTCACCACCACAACACCTGTCTCTCTCAGCTCACCACCACAACACCTGTCTCTCTCAGCTCACCACCACAACACCCGTGTCTCTCTCAGCTCACCACCACAACACCCGTGTCTCTCTCAGCTCACCACCACAACACCCGTGTCTCTCTCAGCTCACCACCACAACACCTGTCTCTCTCAGCTCACCACCACAACACCCGTGTCTCTCTCAGCTCACCACCACAACACCTGTCTCTCTCAGCTCACCACCACAACACCCGTGTCTCTCTCAGCTCACCACCACAACACCCGTGTCTCTCTCAGCTCACCACCACACCACACCCGTGTCTCTCTCAGCTCACCACCACAACACCCGTGTCTCTCTCAGCTCACCACCACAACACCCGTGTCTCTCTCAGCTCACCACCACAACACCCGTGTCTCTCTCAGCTCACCACCACAACACCTGTCTCTCTCAGCTCACCACCACAACACCCGTGTCTCTCTCAGCTCACCACCACAACACCCGTGTCTCTCTCAGCTCACCACCACAACACCCGTGTCTCTCTCAGCTCACCACCACAACACCTGTCTCTCTCAGCTCACCACCACAACACCTGTCTCTCTCAGCTCACCACCACAACACCCGTGTCTCTCTCAGCTCACCACCACAACACCCGTGTCTCTCTCAGCTCACCACCACAACACCCGTGTCTCTCTCAGCTCACCACCACAACACCCGTGTCTCTCTCAGCTCACCACCACAACACCCGTGTCTCTCTCAGCTCACCACCACAACACCCGTGTCTCTCTCAGCTCACCACCACAACACCCGTGTCTCTCTCAGCTCACCACCACAACACCCGTGTCTCTCTCAGCTCACCACCACAACACCCGTGTCTCTCTCAGCTCACCACCACAACACCCGTGTCTCTCTCAGCTCACCACCACAACACCCGTGTCTCTCTCAGCTCACCACCACAACACCCGTGTCTCTCTCAGCTCACCACCACAACACCCGTGTCTCTCTCAGCTCACCACCACAACACCTGTCTCTCTCAGCTCACCACCACAACACCCGTGTCTCTCTCAGCTCACCACCACAACACCTGTCTCTCTCAGCTCACCACCACAACACCCGTGTCTCTCTCAGCTCACTAAAACATTCAGCAATTAGGTAACTGTAAATATATTTTATGTACCGAAGATGGAGGCAAACTGGAGAAAGAAAAATTGTAGAAAGATAAAACATATAGCAAAAACCGAGATAGCAGGCGGGCTGTCCGTCTCGCTGACACGATGTTACGATAGCAGGCGGGCTGTCCGTCTCGCTGACACGATGTTACGATAGCAGGCGGGCTGTCCGTCTCGCTGACACGATGTTACGATAGCAGGCGGGCTGTCCGCTTCGCTGACACGATGTTATGATAGCAGGCGGACTGTCCGCCTTGCTGACACAATGTTACGATAGCAGGCGGGCTGTCCGCCTTACTGACACGACGTTATGATTGCAGGCTGGCTGTCCGCCTTACTGACACGATGTTATGATAGCAGGCGGGCTGTCCGCCTTACTGACACGATGTTATGATAGCAGGCGGAATGTCCGCCTGCTATCATATTCAGGCTTGTTCGCATATACATTCAGGCTTGTTCGCATATATATATATATATATATATATATATATATATATATATATATATATATATATATCCCTAAGAACTCTTTGACCCGGCCAGGATTCGAACCCCATGCCGTCTAGGATCACCCTAAACGTACACAGTACCGTGACCACCGCACCATTGATCGTCATTACATCAAACCATCCACAGGCTAGGCTCGTTAAAGCGGCGGCCATCCCCCTCAAGACGCACTCATTAATTTTCAGGTATTGTTTATCAAAAACAGGTTTGTTCTCATATATAATATTATTATATAATAAAGTTCTGTGTATAGTCAGGCGTAGGTAACGTTAAGTTAGGTTAGGTTAGGTCAGGTTAGGTCAGGTTAGGTCAGGTTAGGTCAGGTCAGGTCAGGTCAGGTTAGGTTAGGTTAGGTTAGGTTAGGTCAGGTTTGGTCTGGTTTAGTCAAGTTTGGTCAGGTTAGGTTAGGTCAGGTCAGGTCAGGTCAGGTCAGGTTAGGTCAGGTCAGGTCAGGTCAGGTTAGGTTAGGTCAGGTCAGGTTAGGTTAGGTTAGCTCAGGTTAGGTTAGGTCCGGTTAGGTTAGGTTAGGTCAGGTTAGGTTAGGTCAGGTTAGGTTAGGTCAGGTTAGGTTAGGTCAGGTTAGGTTAGGTCAGGTTAGGTCAGGTTAGGTTAGGTCAGGTTAGGTCAGGTTAGGTTAGGTTAGGTCAGGTAAGGTCAGGTCAGGTCAGGTTAGGTTAGGTCAGGTCAGGTCAGGTTAGATTAGGTTTGGTGTTCATGTGCTGTTTATGTTAGTCCACAAATGAACAACTGAACATTCCAGTGAAAAGATAACAGCTGCTCCTGTAATTGCAGGAGAGACCGTGAGAGTAGAGCAAGACCGACCTCGCTCTACCACATCCTTGCTCTACTCTCTCAGGCCGTGAGAGTAGAGCAGGGATATGGTGGCCCGCGCGGTCAGTTCTTCATTAATCCATAACTAATTATAACTGAAGTGACCCATTAGACAACAGTTTCAGTTTTCAGGCAAAACTTTGTTGACAAAAGAGACCAAGATCGCTGCCAGCCTCCACACTGGGCACTGTGATCAACAGTGCCACAGCTGACATAGATGGCAAGACTTCAAACTTATCTAAATAGCTAGTAGGCTCGTAGGCTAGTAGGCTAGTAGACTAGTAGGCTCGTGAACTAATAGGCTCGTAGGCTAGTAGGCTAGTAGGCTCGTAGGCTAGTAAGCTCGTAGGCTAGTAGGCTCGTAGGCTAGTAGGCTCGTAGGCTAGTAGGCTAGTAGGCTCGTAGGCTCGTAGGCTAGTAGGCTCGTAGGCTAGTAGGCTAGTAGGCTAGTAGGCTAGTAGGCTCGTAGGTTGGTAGGCTAGTAGGCTCGTAGGCTAGTAGGCTCGTAGGCTAGTAGGCTCGTAGGCTAGTAGGCTCGTAGGCTAGTAGGCTCGTAGGCTCGTAGGCTAGTAGGCTCGTAGGCTAGTAGGCTCGTAGGCTCGTAGGCTAGTAGGCTCGTAGGCTAGTAGGCTCGTAGGCTAGTAGGCTAGTAGGCTAGTAGGGTAGTAGGCTAGTAGGCTCGTAGGCTAGTAGGCTAGTAGGCTCGTAGGCTAGTAGGCTCGGAGGATAGTAGGCTAGTAGGCTAGTAGGCTCGTAGGCTAGTAGGCTAGTAGGGTAGTAGGCTAGTAGGCTCGTAGGTTCGTAGGCTAGTAGGCTCGTAGGCTAGTAGGTTCGTAGGCTCGTAGGCTCGTAGGCTAGTAGGCTCGTAGGCTAGTAGGCTCGTAGGCTAGTAGGCTAGTAGGCTCGTAGGCTCGTAGGCTCGTAGGCTCGTAGGCTAGTATGCTCGTAGGCTAGTATGCTCGTAGGCTAGTAGGCTCGTAGGCTAGTAGGCTAGTAGGCTAGTATTCTCGTAGGCTAGTAGGCTCGTAGGCTAGTAGGCTAGTAGGCTAGTAGGCTCGTAGGCTAGTAGGCTCGTAGGCTAGTAGGCTTTAGTGGCTCCTGACAGCTGGGTGGACAGCGCTTCGGATTCGTAGTCCTGAGGTTCCGGGTTCGATCCCCGGTGGAGGCGGAGACAAATGGGCTAAATGTTTCATTCACCCTGATGCGACCTGCTACCTAGCAGTAAATAGGTACCTGGGAGTTAGACAGCTGCTACGCGCTGCTTCCTGGAAGTGGAGGCCTGGCCGAGGACCGGGCCGCGGGGACACTAAGCCCGGAAATCATCTCAAAATCATCTCAAGATCATCTCTAAACTGATCTAGGTGGCTAGTTGGTCTCTAGCTGACCTAGGTGACACTACAGCTACAAACTAGCTTAGGTAGCTAGCAGACAGCAAGCTCAGGAGAGATCAAGCTAGTACTCACCTAGTTGTGCTTGCAGGGGTTGAGCTCTGGCTCTTTGGTCCCGCCTCTCAAGTGTCAATCAACTAATGTACAGGTTCCTGAGAGAAGGCTTCAGTACAATACAATGTTACGTCGCTTGACTTCAAACACGAGACTGTGTTAGGTTTATGTCTGAACTTGAGGAGCTTGGGAAGTGAGAGAATACTCAGAGAGGAGGGAAGGTGAGAGACAGGGAGGAAGAGACACGTAGAGAGAGATGGGCGGTTATAAACAGAGACGCAGAAAATAGGTGAGAGAAAGAAATAGAGAATATGAAAAGAATGTCGCGAGAGAGAGAGAGAGAGAGAGAGAGAGAGAGAGAGAGAGAGAGAGAGAGAGAGAGAGAGAGAGAGAGAGAGAGAGAGAGAGAGAGAGAGAGAGAGAGAGAGAGCAGACAGACACGTGACCAGAAAGGCAACACCGCATAGCTTAAATATAATGTCAGAATGAGTGATAGTATCCAGGTACGAGCACAACCAGCTGATCCCTTGTAGTAAACAAACGCACGTGGCGGGAGTGTTCATTCACCTCCAGCACAGCTGACGGCCGGCCCATTGTCAACAAGGTATCAATGACTACTGGGATGGAGGGGAAGGGGGGGGGAGTGGAAGGGAAATAAATAGAGGGAGGGAATTATCAGGGGAAAGCGCTAAATCAATACGACTATATAGCACTGGGAAGGGGTCAGGATAAGGATTTGAGATGGGACGGTGGGAAGGGAATGGTGCCCAACCACTAGGACGGTCGGGGATTGAACGTCGACCTGAGTGAAGTGAGACCGTCCCTCTACCGTCCACACCAAGTGGTTGGACTGGAAAAATAGAATAGTGCCAAAACTGAATGGTTAAGAAACACGTGTTTTCATATGATCTCTAGAGATCTCAAGCGTGAATGGGTTGATGAATAAGTACAGTGAGTGACAGAGGAGTGAATAGTGACAGGAGCATGAATAATGAATAGAAGTTCAATAATGACTTAAGCATTAATAATAAAAGGACCTTGAACCTTCCCTACCCTTCACCACCTTCCCTACCCTTCACCACCTACCCTACCCTTCACCACCTTCCCTACCCTTCACCACCTACCCTACCCTTCACCACCTACCCTACCCTTCACCACCTTCCCTACCCTTCACCACCTACCCTACCCTTCACCACCTTCCCTACCCTTCACCACCTTCCCTACCCTTCACCACCTTCCCTACCCTTCACCACCTACCCTACCCTTCACCACCTTCCCTACCCTTCACCACCTACCCTACCCTTCACCACCTTCCCTACCCTTCACCACCTTCCCTACCCTTCACCACCTTCCCTACCCTTCACCACCTACCCTACCCTTCACCACCTTCCCTACCCTTCACCACCTTCCCTACCCTTCACCACCTACCCTACCCTTCACCACCTACCCTACCCTTCACCACCTTCCCTACAATTCACCACCTTCCCTACCCTTCACCACCTTCCCGACCCTTCACCACCTACCCTACCCTTCACCACCTTCCCTACCCTTCACCACCTACCCTACCCTTCACCACCTTTCCTACCCTTCAACACCTACCCTACCCTTCACCACCTTCCCTACCCTTCACCACCTACCGTACCCTTCACCACCTTCCCTACCCTTCACCACCTACCCTACCCTTCACCACCTACCTTACCCTTCACCACCTACCCTACCCTTCACCACCTTCCCTAACCTTCACCACCTTCCCTACCCTTCACCACCTAACCTACCCTTCACCACCTTCCCTACCCTTCACCACCTACCCCTACCCTTCACCACCTTCCCTACCCTTCACCACCTTCCCTACCATTCACAACTTACCTTACCCTTCACCACCTTCCCTACCCTTCACCACCTTCCCTACCCTTCACCACCTTCCCTACCCTTCACCACCTACCCTACCCTTCACCACCTTCCCTACCCTTCACCACCTTCCCTACCCTTCACCACCTTCCCTACCCTTCACCACCTTCCCTACCCTTCACCACCTTCCCTACCCTTCACCACCTTCCCTACCCTTCACCACCTTCCCTACCCTTCACCACCTTCCGTACCCTTCACCACCTTCCCTACCCTTCACCACCTTCCCTACCCTTCACCACCTACCCCTACCCTTCACCACCTTCCCTACCCTTCACCACCTTCCCTACCCTTCACAACCTACCGTACCCTTCACCACCTTCCCTACCCTTCACCACCTTCCCTACCCTTCACCACCTACCCTACCCTTCACCACCTTCCCTACCCTTCACCACCTTCCCTACCCTTCACCACCTTCCCTACCCTCCCTTCCCTTCACCACCTTCCCTACCCTTCACCACCTTCCCTACCCTCCCTACCCTTCACCACCTTCCCTACCCTTCACCACCTTCCCTACCCTTCACCACCTTCCCTACCCTCACCACCTTCCCTACCCTTCACCACCTTCCCTACCCTTCACCACCTTCCCTACCCTTCACAACCTACCTTACCCTTCACCACCTTCCCTACCCTTCACCACCTTCCCTACCCTTCACCACCTACCCTACCCTTCACCACCTTCCCTACCCTTCACCACCTTCCCTACCCTTCACCACCTTCCCTACCCTTCACCACCTACCCTACCCTTCACCACCTTCCCTACCCTTCACCACCTTCCCTACCCTCACCACCTTCCCTACCCTTCACCACCTTCCCTACCCTTCACCACCTTCCCTACCCTTCACCACCTTCCCTACCCTTCACCACCTACCCTACCCTTCACCACCTTCCCTACCCTTCACCACCTTCCCTACCCTCACCACCTTCCCTACCCTTCACCACCTTCCCTACCCTTCACCACCTTCCCTACCCTTCACCACCTTCCCTACCCTTCACCACCTTCCGTACCCTTCACCACCTTCCCTACCCTTCACCACCTTCCCTACCCTTCACCACCTTCCGTACCCTTCACCACCTTCCCTACCCTTCACCACCTTCCCTACCCTTCACCACCTTCCCTACCCTTCACCACCTTCCCTACCCTTCACCACCTACCCTACCCTTCACCACCTTCCGTACCCTTCACCACCTTCCCTACCCTTCACCACCTTCCCTACCCTTCAGCACCTTCCCTACCCTCACCACCTTCCCTACCCTTCACCACCTTCCCTACCCTTCACCACCTACCCTACCCTTCACCACCTTCCGTACCCTTCACCACCTTCCCTACCCTTCACCACCTTCCCTACCCTTCACCACCTTCCCTACCCTTCACCACCTTCCCTACCCTCACCACCTTCCCTACTCTTCACCACCTTCCCTACCCTTCACCACCTACCCTACCCTTCACCACCTACCCTACCCTTCACCACCTTCCCTACCCTCACCACCTTCCCTACTCTTCACCACCTTCCCTACCCTTCACCACCTTCCCTACCCTTCACCACCTTCCCTACCCTTCACCACCTTCCCTACCCTCACCACCTTCCCTACCCTTTACCACCTACCCTACTCTTCACCACCTTCCCTACCCTTCACCACCTACCCTACCCTTCACCACCTACCCTACCCTTCACCACCTACCCTACTCTTCACCACCTACCCTACCCTTCACCACCTACCCTACCCTTCACCACCTACCCTACCCTTCACCACCTTCCCTTTACTCATAAAACCATTTTCATTAAAGTGTTTTCATTCAAAGATAAAATAATACTCTAGAATCTACATTATTATTTTCTCTAAGAATATTCTATGAATATCCTTTATGTATAATCTAGAGTCTAGAGTATTCTTAATGAAAATAAAAATCTGTTATTTAGCGTGAAGGGAAATTTGAATCATTTGCTATTGCATTCAAAGAGGAGGAGGAGAGGCGGACAATGACTGACCCAGACCCACTATGACCAGCCCCGGAGCAAGACCAGTCATTTTGAAAAGTTTGTTGGGGCTATCCCCAAGCCTCTGGGCCCACAACCTCAACAAAACAGACATAAAGACCTCCCAACTTTCCTGCCCTTCTCCTCTTTCATCTTCCCTACTCCTTCATCCTTTCCTCCACCTAGTCCCATATCCCTCTGTCCCTCTTCATTTTCCATCCCCCTCTTCTATTCCGTCTCATTTTGTACCTGTTTGCCCACTCTGCCCTCTCCCCTAACCCCTATCTCTCTACCCTCCCTGCATCTCCCTTCTTTTCCTCTCTTCCTTCTCTCTCTTCCCTTTTCTAATCTTAAACAATAAACATTTCCATTTATATTCCAATAAATCTAGAGACTCTGCTACTTTTCACAGGTTTCATGCGGGTGTTCACTATACTGGCCGACCTTCTCTTAACAGGAGCAACAGAACCTGTTGGCCCCGTTAAGGTCATACCAAAACATGAACGGTCAATAGTTAAACCATGTCTTGAATTATTTATTAATTTATGCTTTTGAAGATGAAGACAAATGGTATTTGCAATTATCGATTCAAGTAACTTTCCCCACAAAGACGTTAAGCTAATTGGCCGATAGTTTGATAAAAGTGATTTATCTCCTTTCTTGAAAACTGGTACCACATTAGCAACCTTCCACGACTCTGGCACTCTGCCTGATTCTACTGACTTATTAAATATGGTAGACAGTGGCTCGCAAAGCTCCTCTTTGCATTCTTTAAGCACCCTGGCAAATACTTCGTCCGGCCCTGGGGATTTGTTTGGTTTGAGTTTCACTATTTGTTGTCACTAATAATAGTGACAATAGTCACTATTTCACTATTGTCAACCTGTCCTCGTCCCCACCCACATAGACTTGTTCGGCTGAAGGCATAGAGTTAAGTTCTTTAGTAAATACAGAGATAAAATATTTATTAAAAATACTACTCATCTCTTCGTCATTATCAGTTATCTGACCTGTCTCAGACTTTAATGGACCTATCCTTTCTCTAATTAGTTTAGATTTAGGATGAGTTTGGATTTGGGAGGGACCTGGGTAAATACTGGATCGGTAACAGGGTTGTTGAATTGTAGAACCAATTACCGCGTAACTTGGTGTAGGTGGGGTCCCTTGATTGTTTCAAGCGAGGGTTGGACATGTATATGAGTGGGATTGGGTGGTTATAAATAGGAGCTGCCTCGTATCGGCCAATAGGCATTCTGCAGTTACCTTTGTTCTTATGTTCTTATGTAACCGACCCCGACTAGCCTACGTCCACGAGATGAGAGATCGTGGCGCCATCTAGTTGTTGAGGATAAATTAAAACTTTACAAGAAATTAATTTAAATAAAGTAACGCAATATATCTCTCATTGTGTTACTGGACGGTAGAGAGACGGCCTCGCTTCATGCAGGTCGGCGTTCAATCCCCGACGGTCCAAGTGGTTGGGCACCATTCCTTCCCACCGTCCCATTCCAAATCCTTATCCTAACCCCTTCCCAATGCTATATGACTTGGCGCTTTCTCCTGATAATTCCCTTCCCGTCAAGGAATAAGTCAAAACATGTTGTTCCACAACCTTAGAAACAATTCTTTTCACCAAAAACGCGTTAAATTTGATACAACCCACGGCTCATTTTAAACGTATTATCACTACATCTAATTAGGCAATATTCCATTATATCTCAATAATTAAACCTGTTCTACAAGCTGAAGTTGTCATTACTACAGTCTACAGGGTGGTCAATATCACGTAGGTGACCCCAACAATGCATTCAATACAATCCCTGACTCATCACTATACTGATCTTGACCAACACATTTAGGCAAGGATTTTCCAGATTGACAGATGTCAACCTTCCCCTAAATCTTACAGTGTATCTCACTGACACATCTACCAAGAAACATAAAGGGAATATTTTATAAACATATTGTTTACTGTGGTTAGGTAGGTGTAAAACACTACCACCCATCATAATGACACAGACATTGCAGCCAATTTAGCGTGTAACAAAGATGAAGTTGAATTAGATCTAGGTATCCCCATCTCTGCTAATAAAATTATATTGTTCCAAACACTCAGGTCTGATAGGAGAGAAATTTCTGACTCCCAACGACCTGAAAGCACCAGCAATTAAAACAATAATTTGTTCAGATCTGAAACTTATGTTTATGGGCAGCACAGAACGTGGACCAGACTGTGCGACACAGTGGTTGCAAGGATCAGGTTGGGTTACCGTTACCTGTGGCAGGTGGCTGCAGGTGACGGATCTCCCAATCCTAAGCACTCCAGGTGCAAACTCTTTGAGCAGGAACTGCGGCTTGATCTCCCTCACTACATCACCGAATGCCCAGTTATTAGACCTTTCAGACCAGTTGGCATGAGGCACCGGGAGCTTTGCAATTACTTTATTAACTCGCGTGTTCTTGAAGATATCCTCATAATGCACCCAGAATTTGCCATTGCAGACTATTGTCACATGCCTCTGTATGACTAACCATCCTGTGTCATAGGGATTTTAGCATCACGTAGTTAGCTATTTGAGACACTGTACTCCCCTTCATATAGCCTAGGGCAGCTGCACAAATGCAGATGTACCTAAATGTGTTAATAATAATAATATTACAAAAATCTGCCATCTCGAGTTTCCACAACGTCATTAAAATATTAACAAAATTGCCCGAACCTAACCTAACCTAACCTAACCTAACCTAACCTAACCTAACCTAACCTAACGTTGAAGATTTTTCCGTCAAAATAGCATGAATTATTTAAGAGGACAGTTTAGGTTATCGGAATAGGAGCAAATCCTATTTAAAGACGGACATACAGATCTATCCGAACCACCTAATCACAATTCGCCCTGGAAAGTTGAGTTAGGCCTAGCCGTAACTAGTCTAGCCTCCATTTCTAGTCTATTTCTATACATGTTACTAGAAACGTCAGTAGTTAGGGTAGTAATGTTTTAGAGTGGGATGAACAACATCATATGAATCCTAGTCAGTTTTGACTTCAAGAAGAGAGAATCAAACTGACACATTCAAACTGGAAAGTGGATTGAATTCTTGTCAATGTAATGATATTTAGACGAAGGAAGGAATTGAATCAGCCCGAGTCTAAGTTTATCAGTTCGTATCTAAAGGGATTATCCGATATTATCCTGTTCTTTATCTCTAGTGACTGTTCTTTATCTCTAGTGATCCTTCGCTTTCTTCCTAATGCAATGCTCTTCGTTCTTTATAATTTTGTTTTTAATTCGAATGTTTTTTGTTTTTCATTTAAGACCTTAATTCCGGCTTATTGCTCGTTCTTACTGATTAATTCCCTCGTTTGTGCTTGGTGACTGTCACGGTATTGTTCAGTCCTGGTGACTGTCACGGTATTGTTCAGTCCTGGTGACTGTCACGGTATTGTTCAGTCCTGGTGACTGTCACGGTACTGTTCAGTCCTGGTGACTGTCACGGTATTGTTCAGTCCTGGTGACTGTCACGGTATTGTTCAGTCCTGGTGACTGTTACGGTATTGTTCAGTCCTGGTGACTGTTACGGTATTGTTCAGTCCTGGTGACTGTCACGGTACTGTTCAGTCCTGGTGACTGTCACGGTATTGTTCAGTCCTGGTGACTGTCACGGTATTGTTCAGTCCTGGTGACTGTCACGGTATTGTTCAGTCCTGGTGACTGTTACGGTATTGTTCAGTCCTGGTGACTGTCACGGTATTGTTCAGTCATGGTGACTGTCACGGGATTGTTCAGTCCTGGTGACTGTTACGGTATTGTTCAGTCCTGGTGACTGTCACGGTATTGTTCAGTCATGGTGACTGTCACGGTATTGTTCAGTCCTGGTGACTGTCACGGTATTGTTCAGTCCTGGTGACTGTCACGGTATTGTTCAGTCATGGTGACTGTCACGGTATTGTTCAGTCCTGGTGACTGTCACGGTATTGTTCAGTCCTGGTGACTGTCACGGTATTGTTCAGTCCTGGTGACTAACACGGGATTGTTCAGTCCTGGTGACTGTCACGGTACTGTTCAGTCCTGGTGACTGTCACGGTATTGTTCAGTCCTGGTGACTGTCACGGTATTGTTCAGTCCTGGTGACTGTCACGGTATTGTTCAGTCCTGGTGACTGTCACGGTATTGTTCAGTCCTGGTGACTGCCACGGTATTGTTCAGTCCTGGTGACTGTCACGGTATTGTTCAGTCATGGTGACTGTCACGGTATTGTTCAGTCCTGGTGACTGTCACGGTATTGTTCAGTCCTGGTGACTGTCACGGTATTGTTCAGTCCTGGTGACTAACACGGGATTGTTCAGTCCTGGTGACTGTCACGGTATTGTTCAGTCCTGGTGACTGTCACGGTATTGTTCAGTCCTGGTGACTGTTACGGTATTGTTCAGTCCTGGTGACTGTCACGGTACTGTTCAGTCCTGGTGACTGTCACGGTATTGTTCAGTTCTGGTGACTGTCACGGTACTGTTCAGTCCTGGTGACTAACACGGGATTGTTCAGTCCTGGTGACTGTCACGGTATTGTTCAGTCCTGGTGACTGTCACGGTATTGTTCAGTCCTGGTGACTGTCACGGTATTGTTCAGTCCTGGTGACTGTCACGGTATTGTTCAGTCCTGGTGACTGTTACGGTATTGTTCAGTCCTGGTGACTGTCACGGTATTGTTCAGTCCTGGTGACTGTTACGGTACTGTTCAGTCCTGGTGACTGTCACGGTATTGTTCAGTCCTGGTGACTGTCACGGTACTGTTCAGTCCTGGTGACTGTCACGGTATTGTTCAGTCTTGGTGACTGTCACGGTACTGTTCAGTCCTGGTGACTGTCACGGTATTGTTCAGTCCTGGTGACTGTCACGGTATTGTTCAGTCCTGGTGACTGTCACGGTATTGTTCAGTCCTGGTAACTGTTACGGTATTGTTCAGTCCTGGTGACTGTCACGGTATTGTTCAGTCCTGGTGACTGTCACGGTATTGTTCAGTCCTGGTGACTAACACGGGATTGTTCAGTCCT